GGAAAACGACGATATACTGGAGGAACTTGATTTGTAAAATCTCGTTAAAGCAGCTGTAGATATGGTTCCAAGAAGAATACATTTAGTTTAGATTTACATGTATGCATTATCATAGCATGAATATTCTTCTCAGACTTATTCTGTATGGTATAAAAAAGCAACGAAATTTTGAGAATGCGGAAATGCTGTCTAATAGAACCTAGAATGATTTAAATGCCTGTTTTTCAAGGTGACTTTTCCAATTTGTTTAATTCCGAGTAGAAAATTAGAAATGTCTGGGAAAATTTATGTCTTCATTGTACTTTATAATCTTCGGAATTCTGCAAGATTTTACCCCCAAAATGCTTGAAATTTCAATTTTCAAGGAATTTCGCATTTCAAGGAATTTCGAATTTCGCATTTCAGGGAATCTAGATTTCAAAATTTCCCCGGGGGTGCATGCCCCCGGACCCCCCTAGATGGTCTCGCGCCTTCGGCGTTGAAGGTCTGGCTACGCCACTGTTAGCCGGGAGCATCTGGAGGACACTCTAAGGACTTGTGACGTCAGTGCAATGGGTCTATACAAAGAGTTGGTAGTCAACTAGTCATACGACCTTGGTTTATTGGTTTTATTGTTTAGCTGTTCTTGATGCTTTCCCAACACTATCATGTATTGTATTTAAGATAAAACCCACCGGGCACACGACGTTGTTTCAACGTTGAAATTTGGTAGAAAAAAGGTTGCGACGTCGACAACCTAATATCTACGTTGCTCTGACGTTGTTTTACAAACATTGGTTCAACAGCAGCCAACAGACGTTGAATTAACGTTCAATCATGGTTAAATGTACGACGTAGATTTGTGAACCAATCTCAACGTTGTTTTAACGTGGATTCAACGTTGAATTATGGTTGACGAGATTGGCAACCTAATTTCAACGTTGTTTCAACGTTGAAACAGTAACGTCGATCCAATTTGCATAGTCAACCCTTTTTCAACGTCTATCCAACGTCTGGAAGGTCATTTCCAACGTTGATTCAACGTTGGATAAACGTCATTTTGCCCGCTGGGAACATAGAACAGTCATCAAACCTTTATTTTGTTAATCTAGAGCTTGAAATGTCCCCTGCAACAATGCGTCACTGCCCAGCGGGCAAAATGACGTTTATCCAACGTTGAATCAACGTTGGAAATGACCTTCCAGACCTTGGATAGACGTTGAAAAAGGGTTGGCTATGCAAATTGGATCGACGTTACTGGTTCGACGTTGAAACAACGTTGAAATTAGGTTGCCAATCTCATCAACCATAATTCAACGTTGAATCCACGTTAAAACAACGTTGAGATTGGTTCACAAAATCGACGTCGTACATATCAACGTCTGTTGGCTGCTGTTGAATCAATGTTTGTAAAACAACGTCAGAGCAACGTAGATATTAGGTTGTCGACGTCGCAACCTTTTTTCTACCAAATTTCAACGTTGAAACAACGTCGTGTGCCCGGTGGGTGCCAACTCTCAATCCAGTAGCAAATTTATCTTATTTTTAGACCTATACCATATACGGTTCCGGACAGGACATCGGGATATTGCCACGAACATTGAATGTTGTCTTTGAAAGTTTCAAAGATAAAATCTACTCTCGGACAAACATGAAGCCCAAGTTCTTCAGTGATGTGATCACTCTTACGAATGCCCAAGAAAGCAAGGAGGAAAGCAAGAAACAAACTGTGCTTGCAATTGCTGAACATTCCGTAAGTTGTATACACTAGACTATAGAAGTGGATAATTTGTCTAACGTTTCTCCCTAGTCACAGAATAGAGACTATATGGTATATATTGTTAAATCATATGGTTTTCCTTATGATTTTGGCGTAACCGTAATTCATCATCAAAATGCTGACGCCATGGTCCCAGCCTGTGCGCGTATGAGAGGCCTTCCCCCTGGACGTCTGCCATTTTGAATATTAGACAGATTTAGATCGAGGACGCGGACGTCAAAGACGACGTGAAAATGGCGTGTTGTGCCCATGTATGGATACGCCACGCCATTTTGACGTCATTTTCACGCCGTCTTTGACGTCCGCGTCCTCGATCTAAATCTTTCTATTATCAGGGGGGGGTGAATGCCTCTCAAACGCGCACTGGCTGCGACCATGGCGTCAGCATTTTGATGACGAATTACGGTTACGCTAAAATCATAGGAAAATCATAGTAAAAACCAAGAAGTCGGCCCCTGTCTTATTCTGAAAAGGGGATAAATGAATGCCTCTCATGGCAGCGGTTGCGCTTTTTTTGGCTGAGTCTGCCTTCAGTGTGGTTTTGCATTACTTTGGTGTAACCTTTGCAATGCTGTCGCCAGTGCGCTTACGAGAGGCATTCACACGCCTCTGAAAGTATTCAAAATTGTGGACGTTCCGTGGGGTGAATGCCTCTCGTAATATGATAAACTGATAAAAAATTATGCTTTTTAGACTTCCTCAGAAGATGTGAGCCATGATCATGATGTGAGCCACGAAGGTACCTAACATACAGGCTGTATATCACCATATTACTGACATTCTCATCATATCTCAATTATTTTCCCATCTAGAGTTCAGTATTGATCTCCGTTCAAATGAGGATATCGATGAACGAGATCAGTTTGCATTATGGATTTCATTCGCGGAGATCTATAATGAGCAAATATTTGATCTGCTTGAACCATTGAATGTTAAAGAAAAGAAACGAAGAACTGTATTAAAACTTGGTGATGATAAGAACGGCCATCCTTATATTAAAGGTATGTTTTGTGAAATGATATAATCGATCTGTTGCATCTTTTATCCCGATTATAGCAGGTGATAATGGTGATCCTGGCATCAAGGATCCCAGAAAATGTTCACACCTGGCTCAGCTGGAAGAAGATTTTAGGGCATTGCATATGTTAACAGCCACAGAAAATGATTTATTAGAAAAAATATCAGTGAGCTCGCCAAAACTTTGACCCCGAAACTTGGGATCCCAGAGACGTGACATCTTACTGATTGTTGTTTTTTTTCATCCTAAGGACTGAAACATATTCTTGTATGTAATCAGGAAGAAGCTTACAAGGTAACATTCTACTTCGTCTTTCCATGCTAATATCTTTTCTTCATTCACGTGATTGGATTTCAAGTCTTTGCATTTAGGATCATTAAGATTGACATTTCTATAGCGCAAGGTCCAGGGAGCACCCAGCGAAAACCCACGACGTTTGGCAGAGCGTTAACCAATTCTTTACGTGAGTCCAAAGCAAAAATCGAACCCACAGACTCAGAAGTGAACGGCGCATGCTCCGTAGACTATGCCACCGAAACTCCAATATACCCTTTCGATAATACGTCACAACCACATTGTTTTCAACTTAACTTAGAACCACCTTAATTTAAATGGAGAGGATTTCAAGTTTTTTTCTCATGGGCTATGCACAGAGAAGCAGAACATCCTTCAAAACATGCGCGAAAAAAATTTGCATTTTGATCAATAAATGTGGAAATAAGCATTAACACGAAGTCATGACCTGGAGCCTCGTTTTCGTGTTAATGCTTATTTCCACATTTATTGGTCAAAGTAAAAAAATATTTTTTATGCATGTGTTGAAGAAGGATGTTCTGCTTCTCTGTGCATAGCCCATGAGAAAAAAACTTGAAATCCTTTCCATTTAAGGTGGTCCTAAGTTGAAAACAGTGTAGTTGTCAGTTGTGACGTAATTATCGAAGGGGTGTATTGATTACTCCGATGTTACTATATTCGAACTTTAAATTTCATTTTCATTTTCAAACAGGTTTTAAAGATTGGGCAACAGAATCGAAGAAATACTTCTACAAAGTTGAACAATAATTCCAGTAGAAGGTAGTATTAAAACTATAGAACCTTTACAGTTTTGACATCTTTATTGTAACGCGAGGCAAACTTTTCTTTTCATTTTCAGTCATTGCATTTTCAACCTGAAACTCGCGAGACTGACTGTAAATCATCAGGGCGAAGTAAATATCATTAAAGTCAGTCAGTAAGTAATTTATGTAAACCGTTCCATTGATGATAAGATATTGGGGAGCGTTTACATATGTGAAGGACGGCAAGTATAAAACACTCTTGTACAACCATGATTATAATCGTGAATTTCCAGGTTATCGTTCGTTGATCTCGCTGGCTCGGAGAGATGCTCCAAAACTCAGAACACTGGTGATGGATTGAAGGAAGCCGCAAATACCAACACGTCTCTCATGGTTCTTGGTAAATGCCTGGAACAACTGAAGTACAATCAAAGCCACAGGTAATTAAGGGGACGTTTTGGGAGGCGTTGTGTTGTTTCCGTAACACGGTGGTTGAAGGCTACGTGTGTTGGATTCTCATTGCGGACTCGTGACACTTTTGTGAAAAGGGTCAGTTGACGATCTACCGAAAGTCGTGGGTTTTCCTCAGGTACTCTGGTTTTCTCCCAGGAACGGGCCCGCTGCAGGCTGTAGCTGTGCTTTGTGACCAAGCACGAGTCATAAGGTTCCTGTTGTAAGCTTTTGACTTTATGAGGTTGAGCTGCATACTTCGTAATTCATATTGACTCTCAGCTGCATACAAGTAAAGATGCATATACCCCCATGCACATATTTAATATTATAGCAAGCTAACAAGGCTGAAATCTTTCACAAGTCGTTTCATTAGTGTTAGGTTTAGTGTTAGTTTTTAAGCTATAGATCATATTCGTTTTTGCAGGAGTAACCCAAATAACGTACCGTTTCGTGAAAGCAAGTTAACTCGATTGTTTCAAGTCTTCTTCTGTGGGCAAGGCAAAGTATCGATGATTGTGAACGTCAGTCAGTGTGCTTCGGCATTTGATGAGACATTCCATGCCTTGAAGTTCTCTGCCATCGCTAGAAAGGTAAAATATTTGGTTCTTCATCAATCTCACAAGCCAGGCGTTCTACTTCCGCTTCCCTCCCAAAAGTTGAGAGCCTAACTTGCGAGGTTGGTTCTTCATTTTATGGCATTGCTTAGATAACCACTGGCTGTTTTAGTTTCAATGTTCTGCATGTTTGTAGATAGTTTGTAAATTAATATTCGACGATTTCTATCAATATCTACGTTTGAACACAGCATCAGTATTGCATCCCCAAACCTTTTGAAACTACCGCAAAAATCTTCATGTTCAGTGGCGGAAATGGCGACCCTCCACTTTCTCGGAAAACTTACGAATTTTCCGAAATTTTGACCTAAAAAAGGGCTAAAAACAGTCTTTTCGAGTGCAAATGGGGGGGGGGGGTTCGTCGGAAATTTGAAAGTTTTGTCGGAAATTTAGGAAGCTTTGCCCTTACACACACACACGCACCGAAAAAGTGAATTTCCGCCACTAGCTGTTCATGTTTTGCTTCGTTTAGGTTGCAACGGTCAGAGTTGAGTCGTCAAACATGGAATCATCAAACAACATCAAACAAGACCTACCAAAACACGACGTCCAGGTATTTCCTGATCTCCATAGTATACTAACTCTTGTTCTGTGTAAACTTAACTGACGTTGTTGTAGTATTTGTAGCATAGATTAAGAAATGAATAGATGGCTCACTCCTTTGAAGTTTTTGATGCCACCGACAGGTGCGACTTCCGGTTGGCCGCCATTACTCTGGCCAGTAAAGTGCAGCCAGAACGAATAGAAAATGTATTGTGAAATTGGCATCACGCGCATAAAAACTTCATTTTTACCGGTTTTGGACACCTGAATTCAACGTTTACGGTCGGAAATTAAAATTAGAAAGGTAAGAAAGTATTATTATCTGTTTTATTAGCCCTGAAAATGTTTTTTTTAAGTCAAATTTTGTGCTCTTAAATATGGCTAGTTCGGCCAGCCAGACATAAAAGAACATAGCTTTTCGTCCCATTTGCTGTATGTTTTCATTCGAAAGTAACATGAATATTACTTCAAACGAAATTTATAAACTATGAAAGTTACAATCCATGTACACTTTGACAATTCATGAACTCATTCTTGCAATAGATATACAGTATCTCTGATGTATATTGGGCCATTCCATTTAATATGCGCACCCCCCCTATTGAGGGTTGGGATATCCAGGGGGTCCAAAGAACAAAAATCCATTAGGAGAAAGAAATTTTTCAAGATATATCCATGGGTAAATATAAAAAAATCCAAATAAAAATCCAAATGGAAAAAATTTAAACAAAATAAATCCATGGTAGTAAATTTATTTATTCATGGCAGTAAATTTATCAGTGAATTTATTTGTGTATTAATTCTATTTCAAAGAACATATGCAAAATATCCATTGAACAAATTTAACAAAATCCAAAAATCCAGGGGGAGAAATTATGTTTAACCCTCAATAGGTTAACAAAGGTTTAGAAAATCCACGGGAAATGTTAAAATGAGAAATCCACATACCCTATTACTAAAGCAATATCCAGGGGGTATTTTTTGTAAACCCTCAATAGGGGGGGTGCGGTTAATAAATGGAATGGCCCATTACAGTGTCAGTATATATGTCTTTTCATCACCATTTCTCTGCCAAGTTTAATAAACATGTCTTTTTAAGTTCACTGTTTTCTTGAATTAGATATTTTTCTACTAAATTTTGCCCAACTTATTCAGATGCAGCCCAGATGGCATCAAACTATGTAGAATATAGTTTATAAACTGCTATATGCAGGCTAGTTTATAGATGGCTAACTTTAATTTAATGTACTTTCTGCTCTTTCTTCCTTTTTTAGTTGAAGTTAGTTGATGGTGTAATATATACGCATCCTCAGAAAAAGCTTTAACATGTAGTCCATAGGAAACTCTGTGCAAGAATGGAATGTGATGGACACACTTTGGAGGCTCTTTAGCAAATTAGCACCAACTAATTTGGACCTAAGTTCTTTGTATGTTTGCATGGTGATAAAATATAATAGTTTTGTTTGTGGAAACACCACGTAAATTTATTATTAATAATTAATAAATTTACGTGGTGTTTCCACAAACAAAACTATTATAATTTGGACCTGTTATACACAAAAACATTTGACAGAAAGGAAATGGCTGTGATGACAATCAGAGTTCTAGTCCTGGCTTTTATTAGAATTAGTACTGTACATATCATTGTATACAAATCAGTGGCGCAGCCAGCCCGAGCCAGACAACTTAGTCCCGCTATGAGCGCAGCCAGTTGTCTAGAGCGCAGCCAGACAACTTAGTCCTGCTATGCAAATTCGAAATTATTACCATTATTCATTTCTTTAGAAATTGATTGTTTTCACAGTCAATGACCACGAAAATATTTGCATAACGGGACTAAATCGTCGGGCTGGCTACGCTACTGATACAAATTTTGGATGATGTGATTTCTTTATAAAATAAATCTTCATGGATGTTATTTGCTCAAACAATGATGGTTATTTTATTTTATTTTATTTTATTTTACAAGTTTGCCATTGCAATAGATCTATATAGAGTACTATGGTTACAAATGACTGGAATTTCCACACAGAGATAGAAATATTAGTGTTGGGAAAGAAGTGAATGGAAATTATTTGCAGTGAAAACTGAGTGTGACAATGTTTTGTATGCCAATAAATATATTTATATTTTTTTATATTTTTCCAAACAATTTGTGTGTGTATATCTTTGTTTTGCAGAACAGGCAAAATTGTCAAAAACAGTCCAAAGTAGATTTCTCTTTTTATAATTACTGAACTCACTTAATACCTATTTTATAAATTAAATTAAATATATTTGAGAAAACTATGACTTTCAATTAAAATGCAAGAAAATTGTCATTTGCATTGAGGGGTTAACTTTTGCTTTAAAACTAAAATTTCTTCTCCACACCCAAAATGCAAGTGCTGTAGCTTTTTTGGTACAATAAGGCAACAGGGAGGGAATAGTGACAACCCTACACCAATACAGTTCACTAGGGCCTTTAGGAAACTTCAGTTCTCTTTTCACCTCTGGCAATGGTAACTGTGCACAAGATTTGGATTCACTCCTTTCCCAACTTTCAAACCGCTCTAACAATGCAGCATTGGTGAGACCAGGTCATCAACCACAAACATTGGTGTTAGGAG